TGAATTGTAACCTCATTGTGAATATTAGTGGTGTGTGTGTGCGCGCGGGCGTATCTGTACAAGGCGTGTGCAAGTTTGTGTACAGTGCGTGTGTATGTGAGTGTTATACTTGTGTGAACCGCAGACTGAATTATACTGCACAAGCTCTCTATATTCTGTTAAAGACAAACTTCCTTCATTAACTCATGAATTTGCTGCTTTAACTGAATAAATGGACTAAACACCAGAGCAGGTGCAGCTACTTTATCTGAGAGGTGGAGGCTACTGAACGAAAAGTGAAGCAGAAGTTCAGTTTTCAAGTTAGTAAAGGAGTTTTCTGATGGAGTTACTCAGGGATTGAGTCACTTTTGAGAGGAGGCGGGAGTCACAGAGGGTTCAGTCTCTGAGAATAATGCTGTTTGTTTGAGAGGAGGTCTTCACAGGCTGAGAGTTAAAGGGATATTCCGAGGTAAAATTAATTTAGGGTCAAACACACAGTAACATCGAGTTAGACCCCCCCTCCAGGGATAATTGTTGCCAACTGCTTGCTTCTCTAGTTATACCAACTATAGTAACGACCGCAGGATAGTAATACAGAGAGCCACACGCTCAACCAAAACGCCACTCTATAGCCACCAATAATGCTCAGAACAGCACCTAACTTCATCAACAGGACATACAGGGTCACAGCCATAGTACTAGACACCAAACATCTTTTTAGCTTTGTCTAATTTCTTTAGCAAAGAGACTAAACACAACTCACCTACTCTCTTCCAGCAGCCGCTTATTTGTAGCGAGACCTCAGGCCAGTCCATTACAGACTACAGCGGGGTGACACAGCTCAAGGAAGAACATTTATGATCATTTCTTCATGGAAATACAATCAGACTGAGACGCTAAGGCAGAAGAACTACCGCGTCTGCAGTGAAAATGATTAATATGATGATTATTACTTCAAGGAAATGATAAAGTAAGGATCATAAATGTTCTTCCTTGAGCTGCGTCACCCCGCTGTAGTCTATAATGGACTGGCCTGAAGTCTCGCTACTAACAAGCGGCTGCTGGAAGAGAGTAGGTGAGTTGTGTTTAGTCTCTTTGCTAAAGAAATCAGGCAAAACAGTACCCTATATGTCCTGTTGATGAAGTTAGGTACTGTTCTGAGCATTATTTGTGGCTATAGAGTGGCGTTTTGGTTGAGGTTTGTTTATGGCTCCTCAGACAGCTGTGTATTGCTATCATGCAGTCATTACTAAAGTTGGTATAACTAGAGAAGCAAGCGGTCGGCAACAGTCATCTCTCGAGGGGGTGTCTAACTCAGTATTACGATGTTTTTGACCCTTAATTAATTTTACGCCGGGATATCCCTTTAAATGACTTGGGCGCCATCAGCTGTGCATTGAAATCTAACAGGGAGAGAGAGAGATGAGACTTTTTAAAGAATCTGCCACTAAGTCAGTAAAGTTGCTCATATGTTGTCTGTGGTGATGTCCACTGTGCTGGACTTCTTGTAAAAAAGGAAATTGCACGCTGACGTAGAGCCACGCGTGTATCTTCTCATGACGTAGGTAATCATGCTGAGGCCGGTTTAAGCCTAAAGCAGTGTGAGTGTGGGCCAAGTATGTGTGCACCCTTAAAGACACGATGGTGCTTGACCATACATGGTTTTGAAGGTGTCTAATTCCCTGAGAGGTCTGGTGTGGGAAATTTTCTTGCAGACAAACACTGAAGAAAAAAAAAGACACTTGTTTTTTCTTGCATGGCTCTCACATGGCAGGAAACTGGCATTTCCACGTGGAGAGTGTTATACAAGACAGCAAGCAGAGACTTGAGGAGGCTCTGAGCTGGACTGTGCTTGACAGCTGCCCTCACAGGAGAGCTTTGGTCTGCGTCACGGTTGATGGTTTGCCCACACTGCTCAGAGAATATCAACTATGACAGAAATAGCGTTGTGCCATCGGTTTTACACTCCCGTCAAATGATAAATTTATATTACCCAGATCAACATGATGCATTTTTCTGTTACATGCATACCAAGCAGGCACAGCTACCATCCTCTTTTCACACTTACATGGAGGCTGGGAGATATCAGACTTCTGTTCTGATGGAGCAGAATTTACTGGGCTGAAGCCAAAAACTGTGGTTGATGGTTAGTGGACTTACAGAAAAAGAGTTTCTGAGGATCAGTATCAACCTGCTGTCCTGACTTTATCACACTGCTGTCTGCTGAATTCAGTTTTCACCTCTTGCTACCGAGATGACGGTTATTCTGGGGTGTGACATCCACCGTCTCATTCGCTGTGACAACGTTAGTGTAAATTCTGAATCATAAGCCGACGCAGGAACGCTGAGGGAGAAACAGAGGCCGGAGAAAGAGCGATGACTGCAGCTGAGGAGAATACTTATGTGGCTTTAAAAGGCAAGAAGGACACGCAGGACATTCATATGAATTAAAGAGGGAGGGTCAGCAGGTCTAATGGACACTTGATTGATTTCACTATTTGGTCTGCTAATGCAATTGTGTTTTAATAAACCCCAATCTCAGGCTCCCCTCCAGTGTTTTTCTCTCTCTTCTCTCTGTCTCTATTGCTCTTTTCTCCTTCCAGTACTTCAAATCAGGTTAGTTCACGATACCAAATGTAATTCTTGAAGGAGCACAGAGCAAAATTGAAATCAATTTATTTTTGATCTTTCTTCATTTTATACTTCATGGCAGGCTTTATGGTCCAAAACTAGAAGGCAGAGTCTGCAGTCTTGTGAACTTTTCGGCACGTTGAGGATAAAAGTGACTTTTTCTGTGGCAAACTTTGTTTCACTTGGAACATTTCCACACACGCACATGTTTTAGTGGTTTAAATCCTTTTTCTTATTGTGCCTAACAGTGTTTGTTGTGTCGTTTTCAGTCTGAATTGCCTTACTGCCAGTAATAGTAACTCTTTAATTGTCAGGGGTCGAACCAGTAAATGAAAAGAGGGAAAAAAAGGAGCATAAAAAATCCATTGGGTTGCACAACAGACCATATTCCTACAGGGGCCGTCTTTTTTCAGAGTGGGAAACTGGTTCATTGTTATCATGTATTTTTACTGTGTTTCAGTCACAGTATAAATTGCAAAATCATTATGGCAGTATGCAGTCTTTTCTGACTCTATACTTCCTCTCTAAAGCCTTTTAAATATCTTAACATGATTTTCAGATTAAAAACAGCCTCCTGTTCCTCACTCTGATACAAAACATCATTATTTCAGCCTCCATCTGAAACGCTTCATTTTAGCTGCTGTCTCCTTAGGGCCCCTCCTCCATGAGCCCACTTTCTTCTGATTGGACACCTCTCTGGAGGCCAATGGCAGAGCTAGATGTTTTCGCTCCGCCCCCTCTACAGATGAACTAGCAAGGAAAGCCGATTGCAATCACATCAATAGTTAGTAAGTCTCAGTAAGATATCGTGTGATCTCCCAACGAACCATTTTGAGCAGTTTGCATCTATTTTGTAGGATCATAATGAAATACGTTTACTTCATGATTTGCAAATTTACTTCTCGTATGAAAACCAAACTTTGCATTTTTTGTTGTAAATGTGGAAAAGCGTAATATCGCACAACTTTGATTAAACATCTGGGATCCAAATGAGGACCAACCTCATCATCCAGTTCATTAAAAATGGCCGAAATGCGAAAAAGGCTGAAGCAGCGCTCCTGTTGTCTCACAGATCCCGCCCCATTTTATAAATAAAGAACTGTGATTGGTCAGGGATACCGCACACTGAAAGGACAATGTTTGAATTGACTGCAAATCAGCGAAAACTTATCTGAGCCGGCTGATGGGTCTCGCAACTTTAGGCCGAGCTATGACCCCTTGTAGGCGATATGTACCTCGTACCCCCACTTCTACTAATCTAAACTATCACTTATATCACTTATTCTGTTACTTCCCTTGAAGCTGCCTTATACTGTACCCCTTATTAGCTCATGTCAGCCTTGGTTTCCAGCCAGCTGTTTTTATTTTCCAGTTGTATTTAAAGTTGCGGATAAGCGATTTTATTCTAGTTAATTTAAGTTCTGCCTCAACGTGGAGCAGCTAAGTCTGTGAGAAGGTTTAGATCGACTCCATGGTGGGAAAAAGGCAGAGTGCCTGAAGTATTCACAGCCTGGTCTCCAAAATTATGTCAGAGGACAAATAAACACGCTCTGGGATCTGTGTTTTGTTTGGTTATCATACGGCTAATGCAAACTCAGAGTACCACTCTCAATATGCAGCACGAAAACACAGGGAAAATATGGAGCTCAGTCGGGCTTACAAATGAGGAAATCCTTCTGCCGACACCTGCAAAGCTTCATGTTTGTGTCTTTGAGACGCTGAACACCTGTTGTGGTTGGCAGATGGTTTGACCTTCATTTTGTTTGTCTTTCCAGGGAAATCTAACAGGAAAACATTGGAGGGGTATCTTTCCATCTAACTCTCGACAAGAAAGTCAATAAATAACTGGACTTTTTTTCTAAAATGTTGAACCACAGCCTGTTTGCCAATCAGAAAGCAAGGCTCCTAATTTTTTAGACCTGTCAGAAATTATTCTCAGGCGGGTTTGGACAATCAGAAAACGTGTGAACAAAACTACGAGATGATGTGTTGATGGTGGAAAGACTGTTGCTGTTACACATTCAGAGGATATTGACAACTGAAGCCTAGCGTTGAGAGGCGGTGGGAAAAATGAGAAATGAGGCCGACTGGTCGAGAAATGAAGAAAACCTTTCCATGCATACAATTTGGATAGATCTGGGAACCAACAATACTTGATTATTTATGTGATTGTAGTAAGGATCTGTCTCTGTGTCAAAAACAAAAGCCTGTTTTTCAGACAGAGAAAGAAATTAGCCCTTAAAATAAAATTACTGTACTAAATTACATTGCTCTTTATTGCCTCGGCTGTTAGATTGATTGGAGTGATTATCACTAATGTTTTCGTACACAACTGACATAACCAGGAAAGTTCTCGGGACCGACAGTTATGCAATTTATGTGAAAACTTACCTGCAAAGGAGGAATAATATAACCGCACCAGCGAGGGTATTTCAACCTGAGGCACGCAGAGACTAAAGGAACAACCCCAAGACTGACCCGGGTTAGGTTAGTCCAATCTGTTTCCACTTAGCTGTCTGGTTTGGGTTTGTACAGTTTGTTATCGTAAACCCTGATCTTGTTTGTGTTCCCACAGCCGTCTGTACAATAGCACTTCTTCACACTGGAGGAAGCGTGTTGGCTGCCGATCAGAGCGCCAGTATGAGCAGCACCTGTCACGTACATGTCATACATTGAAAATCAGGTAAATAAACAAGTATTAGACGCTAAATTGAAAACTTAAAAAAAGGAAAGTTTAGAGCTGTATCAGCCACGTTTCTGCGAGGAGCATAAAAAACATAACTCCAAAGCACATTGCAGATGCTTTTCAAAGTAAAAGCTCCATCTATTATTTTCTGCTGTGACTCACTTTGTTTTCATACAATGCTTTTATTGTGAAAGACAGAACTTGGCATGGCTCTTTATTCGAGCCTATGGTGAAGTTTTGGTGGAGAAAAGTGGGGAGGTTAGGAGGGTAATAATCCAGTACAATCTATTATATCTCCTCTCTCTCTCATCAGTGGAAAGCAGCGTGTCCAGTTCCGTCCTTTTGGGTCAGATAAGTTTGTTTGGTACCCAGACAGAAGGGTGCTGTAACAGGAGAAAGTTACTCAGATAACCAGGTAAATAAGCCTCCTGTGTTAGACTGCTATACGGTGACTCTTTTACACTATAACCATCCTGCAGTTAACCATAATGTGAAGTACCAAACACTACCATGTAAAGCCGTAACATATGATATCATATCATACAAAACTATACCATAGGAAACCATTCTTTACCAAAACACTGTGAGTCAGCCCCTGAGGGTTTTCCAGTCGGTCATCACAGCTGAATCAATGCAGCCATTTTCCTCCTTTGTGAAATCTCAGTGTTTCTTTCAGCCACTTATCATCCTCTTTATTCCTACTAAAGTGGACATGATTGCTTATTTGCCGTTCTGATCTCTTTTAATCAAATTAAATACTTTGAATTGGTGCCACGTTCAAAGTCACATTCAATACCTGTAGCTCTATAAAACCTCACCACCGTATATATCTCTGTTTTAACAGTTTCTGGCTCTGGTTCCGCTCTTCGCTGGTTCAGAAAGAAAATATCTGTCAGTGCAGCAGCCAAATGCTGCACTTACTCTTTTGGTTGTCCTCTTGTTTACTTGTACTCTTCATCCCTCTTATTTTTTTTTCTGTTTTGTTTCTTGAAACAGCCGCTGGCTTTGGATGAAAACAAGAGGTGAGGAGAGCAATGAGACTCCACCAGAACAGCTGGTGAAGGGCAGAGATAAAGAAACCATGCAGCAGGTGAGACCCAGCAGAGTCAGAGGTAAAATTTCTCTGCTGAGTTGTGTGTAATCCTCTGAAAAACACCTATACATAACCGCACACAATTTCAAATCTATAACTGTCCAACAAAAGCAGGGGGTTATGTCTCCTCTTGTCCCTTCGGTTTTCTCCGTACAGGAGTGTAGAAATTGTATTTTCAGCTGCTCTCAAAAGTCACGTTTTGCGCAGGGGAGCATCGGGGTGAGCCTGTGTGTCAGATGTGATCTCTGCAGCTGATGGGGGTTGTTTGTCGTCCAGGAGTACCTGAGGCATCTTGGCATTTGTTCTTCGTCGGGGTTATTTAAAGCCTCAGGGGATTTGTAGGACCGCGTTGCATTGATGGTGTCAAGGATCACTTCAGCTGAGTCTTTGAAGGGCTGCAGTATACTGTTCGCTCGATGCGACGCTTCCTCTATGCAATGCGTATGGATTTATAGTCACACTGAGAGAGAGAGAGAGCTCCATGATCAATATGCTTCTATGTTTGATTCTGGACGATGAATGAGACTTTAACCTGCTGTGAATTTACACTGACATGAAAAATATGTGACGAACCAGAGAAAGTAAAGGACTCAGTGCTTCAAAATAATCATACCAATCATGACTCATGCATACTTTAAAACAGCAGCCACATGCTGTAAAACCTGCTCACTTTTAAGAGCTACCTCATACAAATATACTGCTTTTGATCCATTACTGCAACAGTTTTATAGCTCTCTACAAAATCCCATCCAGGACATCCCCACATGTATGCACAGGGCCCTTTATCGCTTCCCTGACATATGGGTATATTTGTGCAAGCCAGTATGTAACTGGCATCATAAATTGTTGGCAAAGAACAACATCCTGTGTTATTAATGTTAATGGAAGTGACCGTAAATCTGTGCATCGTGACGTTTTTATTCGTGCAGTAAAGGTGTTTCCTGAGCGGGAGCGACACTCGGCTGGCAGACCTTGACCTAATTTCATGGAAACGTTCAAAATTTACATACAAATTGAGAGCCTGCTCACCTCGACACCTCAGGAAAAGCTAATATCCTGTTAACATTAATAACTATTACATAACCCATTTGTTATTATATGCTCATATTTATCTGCTCTGATATTATGTGACAGCTTTTATCTCCATTAAAAGGCGACCGTGCGCTGAGCTCTTATCGTGAAATACAACCCTATACCGTTAATACCAAGTGTCGAGATCAGAGTCAAGTTTTTCAGAGCGTAATTTATACGTTTAGTATGACTCTTTGAAAAAACAACAATTTCATTCTCTGTATTAAAGGTTTATACTAGTGCTGTCGAAAGGTTAATTTATTTAATTCAGTTAATCGCTGATTTCAGGAGGTGAATTGTATCCTCAAGACTCCATTATTTCTCATTTCAAAGCAGATCAGAGACCATATTAACGACAATTGATGATAATTGCTGCACTGCCACACCATGACCTGGAGGCAGGAAACAGCTTCACAGTGTATCATCTCCTGTTGCTAATACACCAACTATTGTCCAGTAACCCCACTTCAAAAAACCCGAACTGTCCCTTTAATTCCATTTGTGCTTATAACTCTTGACCTTTCAGCTAAGCTGTTTGGAGGATTTTTAAAGTGGAGCGTGTCGTTCAAAAGCTCAGTTAGTTACTTTACAAGACACTCAAGTGGCCAACCTACGGTGTGTCTGAAGGGACAAAAAAGTATGTTCTTAAAGAATCTATTGTTAATTCCTGACAGTGGGCACAAATAATCGGAATAAATGTCCGATCGGAATAAAAATGCGTCATGTAAACATGTCCATCGGAAGATTCTGATCCAATTCAGCTCAATCGGAAAGAAATTGCATTCCGATCGAGAGGAGTAGTTTATGCCGATCGTTATCCCGAAACGCGTTCATGTAAACGCTTATCATGACTCTCTTTCCTGACTTGATCTTCACTCTTTATTTATTGAGGTCAGTTCAGAAGGTTTCATTATTAACACTCTGGCATAAAACACAAACACACAGGAGCCGTGTCTGCTCCTCCGATAACAAAACAAGGCGTACAAACAGCGTAATGATGTCACATCTCCACGCACAGCACAACTTTTGATAGAACAGTAAAATAAGTATGCAAGGGCGCCATCTAGTGACAACATTTAACAGGGAGAAAAATCCTAAATTGGATTGAGTGAGCTACTACCGCGTTTGTTGGTTTGTCGACAGCACAGGCGGAAATACAACTCTTCTTCTTCTGTGGTTCTTTTAGTGAAATCAGACAACTCTGTGCATGTCCAAATGCTTCTAATCTGAATAAAACTTGATGATCAGATTATTTGATTTTGCGCTCATATAAACAGTGGATTCAGATTTTCCGATCCCTCAAATTTTTCATCGGATCAAGAAATTTTGCACATGTAAATATGGTAGTTACCGCTTGCAGCGCTGTTTGCACTCAAAACCAAAAAGAAAATTTTATTTCTGTAAATATTTATACTAACAGATATGAGATATTTAGTAGTTTTCATAATATTGACTAGGCCTGAACGATATATCGTTTGACTATCGTCATCGCGATGTACGTGTGTGCGATAGTCACATCGCAGAGCCTGCGATATTGGAGGTGAATGAACTCATTTAATTTCAAGGGTAACCGACTGAGATACACTCCATGTGACTCTGCATGTGCTGTGCAGCGATCCACCAATCGCCTTCGTCCTTAACTCAGTTGCCAATCAGACTCACTTCTCAGCTGCCAATCAGACTACCCTGCCAGCTGTCAATCAAAATCAGGGAGGAGAAAACCCACCCCTGCACATGTTCTGCACATGGAGGGAGACGTGTGTCCGCTGAGAATTACTTTCGGAACTTTACTCATGACTATTAAGCCCAACAAATAAGAACTGTATGGGTTTTAAATTGTACATTTCCGTGGACCACTCTACTATAAGCAGTGCGCGTTTTGCGAGGTGCATGCAATTCTCGGAGGACATGCGTTTCTCGGTACAGCACCGCTAACAACAACAACAACGATCGCAAAATGAACAACGAACAAGCGAAAACCACCGAAAATGAAGATTTGTTGCCAAAAAGAAAAGGAAAGTCAGTTATCTGGAATTATTTCGGTTAAAAAAGGATGATGTCGACCAAAACACGTCTTCTGTGTTCATCTGTTTCCACAATAACGTCCCAGCACAATAAAAGCTAAAAATATCTCTGAGACAGACAGAAGCCGTTCTACTAACATTCACAAAAAGAGGTAAGATCAGAGCAGATTAACTGTCCTCAAGATTTCAGCAGTGCAGCATAACATTACATGCTATTCAGGTCATCTGGTGAAAATACTGTATTTTTAATATCGCAATATATATCGCAGGGTTGAAAAAATCGCAATATTATTTTTTTCCAATATCGTGCAGCCTTAATATTGACCTCCTTTGGTGATTTACGATAATCACTTTACATCTTTCTGGCGAGCTGGTAAACTTGATTCCCCTCGAGTTTAATCGTTTCTGGCGTTGCACTGCAGCTCGAAGAAGAACCAACTTTTTCATGCTACATTAAAATGCCTCTCACAGCAACTCGAAGCATTTATTCCGATCAATACACAAATAACTTCTACATCAACAAGAGATGTAATCACCAGATATTCCACTGAGGTACTACTGGCTCAAAATTTCCCCTGTGTGCTGCAGGTTTTCTGTTTATTTCTTCCTTCCGTCTGTGCAGAACAAAAAAAAATGACAGAATAAAGTGTGAAGTTAGCGAGTCACCGTTTTCTCTCTGTGTTTCTGCTAGCTGTCGTTAAAATCTCCTCTGAAGCCTCATTGCACAACAGAGAATATCAGAGTTCTGGTTAAGCGCAGGGTTTTTGACAACACGCATAAATCAAACGAAAACAGTCGGTGCTCCAGAAAGTACAGAGGAGGAGTGCTCCCTGAATACTATTAAATATAGATATTTGGACATAGAGCAGGACACCAATCTAAAGTTAATGGCCCCTTAGTGTATTGATTTATGCTGTCAGTGACATATAAAGCTATTAAACGTTTTCCCATGAGACTGACACACAGTTACCGAGTGCAACATGAGCCTCTCTCTGGATCCAATTATGGACATATTGTACTCTGAATCAATTTACAATAGGTGTTGTGTAAATGGACAGAAAACAGGAGTCTGAACAGATGATAGAGTGTACCAAATAAAAGAGATGATTCAAGACAAATCAGATGTCTCATGTAGCAGCCAGATTATGTTGCAGAAATATTTAGTCTGTGTTGTACCCGATCATGTAAGACAGTACAAAGCTGCTTCTTTTGTTTATGCTCCTGCGCTCTGTTAGTTTATGTTTGAGATTATCCGCAATTATGTTGGTCTTAGAAACTACGATCCCTTTCTCCATATGAGGTATCGTTCCTCCTCAGATTACCACAGCTCCTCTAATCACACTTTATTCTTCTGATTGTCCTCGAGCCAAACAACTTGTCACTCATCAGTCTTTGCAAACAAACTGTCAACAACATAATTTCATGTCATCATGCGGTGGAGAATTGTGCTGACATTTAGGACTGTTGAAGGGATGTTTTCCCCTCCCTTAAGAGAAGATGATATCGAACGCAATGAGAGGTCGCAGAGTTGGATAAGTAAATATCATTTCATATTTCAAAAGGTCGAACAGTTTCCCACAAACTGTAGTCCTCCCTTTTTGTTAAGGCTGCCTTTGTCAGCAATATGTGCATAGATTAATTGTCTTGAGTGACTTGACACCCTTGTGTCTGTGTCGAGTAAACACCCACAGAGCTGTCGTTGTTGGCAAGTCGTTTCAGCGTTCTGCCTCTCAGACAAACAGCTATTACTGTTCTCTCAAACAGCCTCCTCTTCAAACAGGAGTGTGTGGGGACTGTGTGAAGAAGCAGTTAACAATCTCTTGCACAGGCAAGAGAGGTGCAAAAAAAGGGTTTAAAATAGTTCGAGGTGTTATCTGCGGAGGGATCTGTGCAGGGATCTTCAAGCTGATGATAATTAAGTTTGTATGGACATGGGGAATCATGCAGAGGTACACGTGCAGAGAAGACCATAACCATGTGGTTAATTTGGGGTATGAGCTGCAGGGCGTTCGTCAGCGCAACACAGTCAGTCTGTACGTTTAATTCACTTTATGTAAGTGAGATATGTGGTGAAAATCAGCAATCGCACCATCCCAGTGAGATGAAACTGTTTTAATCAAACTCAAAAATGTTGATGTATGTTATTGAGTCTCCAGTTTGTGACCATGCTTAAGCACACACACGCATCAATATCCATTTACATCCATCAATACCAATTATTGCGTTCAATCAACGGCAAACGGTTTCAGATTTTCAAAGGTTTATGCATCCAAGGGTTCGGAGTGTCAAAGTTTCCCCCGGAGGATTAACGGCATAAGAAGATGTGTTTTTTTCTCCGCAGAAACACACCATCAGTGCGGGATGTTGCACCATAGACCACTCCAAGACGTCATGTGATCAAAATCTGGGTCTGAAAATCTCTGAAGTGCAGTGTGTGTGTTTTTTTTTCTTTATATCAGGTCTGAATTATTCAACAAAAGGAAAGACACTGATGCAATTTTTATCACAACCCTTATAGCTCTCTGCATACAGAACCCTGAAGGACATTTACATACAGCAGACAGATGTATGAAATGATTATTAAATTAAGGTGATCAAATGATCCCTCATTACTGACTCTTCTCATCAGGAGGAGCTCCAGCTTGTTCCTAATCATTCCTCTAATGTCACTAAAACATTTGTGCACAATCCAGACAAATTTCACATAACTCAATTTTCCCCACTGGCCTCTGAGTGGGCGCGTGCCTGTTCGCGCGTGTTCGTGCGTGAGTGCGTGCTACGTTGAAATTCTTATGTAACATGTTCCCAATCACATCCCAGCCCGACACTCAGACATGAGGTCGCTTTAAGAGATATCTCGGCTCCTATCAGAGCTCCTGGCAGGACGCCTCCTACCTTCTCTCCTCTCCGACCAAAAAAACTCCGCCGAGTCTCACCTGATGCAAAGCAGCGAGAGGAATCCACGGAGCAAGAGCAGGACCACGAAGGTAAGAACCCACGGCTGATTAATCTGATTAATAATTTAGCGTTTGACACTTTTGAAGAAGTGGTTACCTGGATTTAAGAAGTTACGCGGTCGGTTTCTCTCCGGTTCCTGTCGTGCCAGGACGAAGTTAAAGCGAAACACCTGTTATAATCCAGTTTTAATATACTACTAATAATGTTTTTAACCTGCATTAATTAAGTTTTTAGATCCGCACGTGTCGGTATTTTTTAATTTCCTCTGTCATCTTTACGCGGACTGAATTAGTTTTCTGTTTACGTGCCCAGACTCTCCATGAGTGAAGGACTTGTGGTTAAAATAAGAGACCTGTTAGTATGAAGGTTGGTGCACGAGACCAATGAGTCTCCTTCACCTGTCCGGGGTTGAGAAAGACCCCCCTCACGCGCACAGACACGTAGTAAGGGAGTCCAGGAAGGCTGCAGGGACCCCCGTTTAGGACACTCTAACTGTGACTATTGCATCATGTCTGATACAGTATTTTTCATTGATCAGTCCGTATTTGAGGCTGATTAGAAAGTTAAAGTTGATCAATAAGAGGACTTTAATCCCCTCACATAGTTCAGGGACTTAAATCCAAATGAAAACCTCTTAAATCCACAAATTGAGTTGATTTTCATGTTTTTTTTCTGCATGGACGTCATAGCTCCCTCTTCGTGTATCTCTATTTTGTGAAGACTCTTCCTTATTGTGTAACATGCAGCTAATCTGGGTAGTTTATAAAAGGTGTCATGTCCAATATTAATCACGCCGCTTGTAAATTTCCTTGTTACATCCCTTGTGCTGTCCTCCAGCAGACACAACACAAGCAATGCATCACTTGAAGTGTCCAAAGGCTGCCATAAATAATCAGCATCAAGGCTGCGGCTCGTGTACAATATGCGGGCCACATATTTTGGAAACCCTGCCAGGGTTGAGTCAGGTTGACATCCAGCAGAGTATTAATTATCCAGACGCTGGGACGGAGGAGATGGTGTAGCTCCCTCAGAGGAATTTAAGTGGTGTAACTGCACAAGCTCCAGGTATCAGTGTTTACTTTGTTATGAATAGTCTGGCTCTGTTTGTGTTCCCCACGGAGGAAACAGCTCGGTATAATAGGACTTTTCCGCTCATAATAGAGACAGCCACAAGCAATTAATGTCCTACCTGTCAGCGTTTATCATTGTTAACGAGTCCGCAATTAAAATGATAAATCCTGTAGATTTTCTCCTGTTTGCATTGTTATGTTGCACTTTCAGGGGAATCGAGCCGCTGGCACAACATCTAAGTTAATCAGTGCTGTTTTGACTGCAGCACAAATACATTAAAATATGCATGTGAGCGCACATCCAAAATCACTCCTCAGTGGTTCCTGGTAAAAGAAGATTGTATTCCCCTCCTGTGTTCCAGTACATTACCATGTTGGAGATAGTGCTCAAAATCGGAGAAGCTATTATGGATGCTCAGTGACAGTCTGAGGTGTCTTCTCATTCGTGGACAGAAACAGAATCAATTCCTGCTGTCAAAAAGAGGAGAAAACAGTGAGAGGGAATGATTGTCTCTCAACGAGCAGTCATTATCACGGTTATTGTGATGGAAATTTAAATCAGCATGCTATCACTGGGATGCCATGAAGGCTTGATATGTGCCGTTTTCTTGATGATATGCCATCAGCATATCATTTCTTCTTGGAGCCAGTCCTCCACGAAACTAGATCTCAGCCCTGGCAACAGACTCATGATATCTGCATACTTACATGAATTATGCCCTCCATAAATCTCTGGTTTTGTAATGTTCAGTGGAGTGACAGTGTGAACAAAGAGGAAATTTGACCACTTAATACATCTGTGCTTCAGAAAGACACTTTAGGAATCACAAGGAAGGAGCACTTCAAAATTAAGAACCTCCCCTGCTGCGAAATCATCAGAGGCAGAAAATCAGCTTTCACAAGAAGTGAGAGGCACATTCGTTCGAGCTGCAGATTTAATTGCACCACCTTTTTCAAATTGAGTCCAACAAAAAAACTTATTGATATCAGAAGAGTTTATTATTTTCAAACAGCAGCGTGACATGGAGCGACAATCAGCACCTTGGAGCAGACTCATCTTAAATTTGATAATCGATTGTCATCACCGGGTTAAAATTGAGCGCGGAGAGTCTCAGAAATCTCCAACACTCGAAGATTTTCATGATTAATTTCACAAACCAAGCAAAGGAACAGCTTCACAGCCGCTAATTAGCTTTTAACACCCGTCACGAGTGTTATCCACACGCCGATTGACGACTGTAGGTGTTGATGGTTGACCGGGGTTTCTACAGTTTTTCAGCAACCAGAAAGATGAATTTGTGATCATGGTCTCACAGAGTTTAGGTTCATAGTGACCTGGCACAAACTAAAGCAGCTCACAGTAAGGGGCATCGCGGCGGACAAGCTTGTGAAGGGGGTCCAGTTCCTTTGAGTGTCAGTCAGACCACTCAAACACACAGGACCAGACTAAAACTGTAGTAGTTGCACTTAAACTAGACTTTCACAGGTTTGTTATTTCCAGTCCATTTCACAATTGTTTAAAAACTCCTCACAGAAGCTTTAAGCCGAATTTCTCAAGGCTCATTTATAAACAACACATGGCTGAGAATCTATCAAAGCTTATCTATTTCTCTCTCTCTCTGTTTTTCAGGTAGCAAATGAAGACTGCTGTGAAGAGTGTCAAAGGTTAAGGGTGATGGAGAGCTGTAAACAATGCAAATATTATTCATAAAGTAATTACAGCAGGTGTGACACATCAGCTCTTTCAATTGAACCCGGCCTCTGAGGTGAGCCGTCATGGAGCACCAGCCCAACACCAACCACAACCAGGCCTTGTGGAAAGAGATACCCTGGGATTTCACCGAGGACTGCTCGCTCTCGGTGAGCGGCACCACTTTCCTCATAGTCGCCTACAGCACGGTGATGGCTGTGGGGCTCATTGGGAACTCTTGCCTGGTGTTTGTCATCACACGACACAAGGAGATGCAAAACGTCACCAACATCTTCATCGCCAACCTGTCGTGTTCTGACATCCTCATGTGCATCGTGTGCCTGCCGGTCACGATCATCTACACCCTGATGGACCGCTGGATCCTCGGAGAAGCCCTGTGTAAGCTCACACCCTTCATCCAGTGCATATCTGTTACCGTCTCCATCTTCTCCCTCGTCCTCATCGCCATGGAGCGATACCAGCTTATCGTCCACCCAACCGGGTGGAAGCCTGTAGTGACTCAGTCGTACCTGGCTGTGGCGTTCACCTGGGTGGTGGCCTGCCTGATCTCGGTGCCTTTCCTCTCATACAGCGTCCTCGCCTTGCCTTTCCAGAACCTGAGTATCCCATTCCCAGTTGGTGACCATCTTGTCTGTATGGAGCGTTGGCCTTCGGTTCAAGAGCGGCGAGCTTACACCACCTCCCTCCTCATCTTTCAGTACTTCCTCCCCCTTGTCCTTATCATGGTCTGCTACCTGCATGTGTACCTGCGCCTCAGGAGGAGGAAGGACATGGTGGAGCGCGGATCGAGGAACACCACCCAAAAGAAAAACAAAGGCTCCACAAGGATCAACGCCATGTTAGTCGCCATCGTCGTGGCGTTCGCCCTCTCCTGGCTCCCTCTCAATATCTTCAACACTGTGTTTGACTGGAACCACGAGGCCATCCCGTCCTGTGGCCACGATGTTATCTTCTCCTTCTGCCACCTCACGGCCATGGCCTCCACCTGCGTCAACCCCATCATCTACGGCTTCCTCAACAGCAACTTCCAGAAGCAGCTCAAGTCCACCCTGCTGCGCTGTCGCTGTTGGGGGGTGGCGGAGCGGTATGAAAGCGTCCCGCTCTCCACTGTCAGCACAGAGGTTACCAAAGGGTCAACCCTCAGCAACGGATCTATCAGCATCAACACTTAGACCCAAGCCTTTTCAGTCAGGGACAAAGAAACTACCGGGGCCTCTTCCGCCCTCACCCCTTTGGCGCTTTTTTTCTGCTTCATCGGCTCCAAAAGAAGGGTTGACATTTTCAAGATTAGAGACCTCTTCATGGCAGTCCAGTGAGAGACAAGAGAGGACCCTCAACCAGCATGGTGCACCGGCCTCAGTTTGACATGCTGTAAGAGGAAGTAGATAACAAAACGTTAGTACAAAGGTTGGACAAGTTCGAGCATTGTGGTGCAGCTGAAGGCACTTTACATGAGCACTTTTGCAACTAAAGTCTGTATAGTCCACCCCCCATGTACTACGTACACAAAGAGACAGCATTTAATCTTGTACACACCTGTCAGATGTTCTTTTAAAGCACATGTTCGTATGTTTACCTGCTGAATGTGAGCAGTGGGACCAACAGACAGGGTTGAAAGGACAAAGCTGTTGGGCGGCTGCAGATGTTTTTCCGTGTTTGCTGTTTTATGTTCATGCTATTAATGAAATGTTCTCCGATTGTGAACTATGATGTCTTAATGGCTGTCGACTAAGATGTTTATGGAGGAGAGGACATTAATGCATATAATGTGGCTCCGGGCGTTTATTCAGATGTTTTGTCGGCATTATCTTAATGCTTTTCTTATTACCTAAATGATCTCAAACGATGTAAAGATCTATTTCAGCGGACCTCGGCAGGAGCTGTGTACATCCAAGGCTCTCTCTCTCTCTCTCCGCCAAGGCCTGAGCAGCAGTGTATTGTGTGTGTGTGTGCGTGTGTGTGTGTCCTTTTTTTCTCATAAAATGTGCCATACAATAACCGTATATCAAGTGCCGTAAAACAAAATAAAAGTGTCAGTGAAGGACTTTGTCGAAGCGAGGTTCTTTTGCCATTTGTATCATTACTGAAAACATATGAGGTCTGTAAAGGAGTGCCATGGTTATGGTTTATGATTGGGTCAACAATAAAAAGCACTGTGTAGCATAGTATTTATCTCCTAGGAAACCTATTATCGGTTATTTCTCTTTGTGGAGTTGGACTAAATTAAAGCATTCACTGTTGTCTTTAGAAATAATGTCTACTTCGTAATATTTGATTCTGCTAACTAACTTTTATAGCCATTTGCAGGTTTGTTCATTCACTCCACGCTCATCATTTCACCTTTTCTCTGACTGCTGATGTACCTAAAGTCTAAACTTATGAGCAAATGGCTTGCAGGGATCAAACTGCACCACTTTAGGAAACTGAATCGACTGTGGCATTATTATTATTCATAAGGTGCTGAATTGTCTAGAATAAGTCAATGAGAGTTTCTGGTGTTGTAATATTTGATTTATGAGGGTGAAATCTCTTTACTAAACGGTGAACTTTGTAAATATTTGCGTCTGTCTGAGGTCAAATTCAGAGTCCTGTCTCTGGGTGTATCACTCAGGAAAAGAGGGATCAGAATATATTTCAGATAAGCTGTAGTGTTGAATTAATCGGTGTTGTGTTCAGGGACTTCAATGTAAAACCAGTTTCACATTAGGCCGGACTTTAAAAACCAACGCAGATCCTCTTTAAACCTGTATTTTTCCTAATGGCCAGCAGGGGGCGAGTCAGGTGATAAGACACCTGATTAAGTAAAACCAGATGGAAAAATGACCTCTACTCAACTGAAGACTTATCTTTATAAGAGTGTAAAGATGGGATAAGACTGAGCCCGTCTAATAAGATCAGACCCACTCTGATCCATCTTATGAATAAAACACTTTGCAGCATTTATCAAGTTACAGCAGAGAGGACAAACTTCCTTTAACAGGCAGAAACCTTGAGCAGGACCAGACTTATGTTAGACAGTTATCTGCTAAGACTGGGCTGGGTTTAGAGATGGATGAGGTGAGATTGATGAACCTATGGCATGACGGAGCTGAGGGACTCCCAGAAAATAACGCAAAACTCAGAAGTGATCATGAAAACGAGCGTGAACGAGCGATCTCTCAGCATGTTTTTGTATACTTTAAACCCTCGCAGGAGACCTGGGTATAACAGCCATGCTTTGACATCATTTAAGGCGGCTCCATGAATCTGAATAAAGCTGTTCGATACGTTTCATATGAGTCGGTTTTATAGTGAAAAAAAAACATTTTTTTATGTAAATGTGTGTAAAATAAGAACAGCAGACAGAGAAACTGAGTCATAGCTGTTCTCACACTCAGTCTCATCATCATCCCCATGTTGGGCTATGTTCCTGAACAATACATTCTATATTTAATACCCTGAACACCCGGTTTGAGGTCTTACTAACCAGTTTCGAGGCTTGTGTAATACAGCATGATTTTAATTTTAAAATTAAAAGTAAAACTTGTTTAGCCTTCCAGTTAGGCATGCTAAGGGAGACTAACACGTTTGCCACAGTGTCAATAAGCAGAAGTAAATATGCTTTAAGATTTGATGTGTGTGATCTTACCGCTGGAGGTGGTTGTTTACGGATAACAAGCGAGAAAACCAGGTGATAGGATAAAATAGGGAGAGAGTAAATACCTGTGTGTCTATTTGTGGTTAATTTTGAAGACGCTTCCTGTCAACAAGCGAAGAGATCCAGCTTCGCGGCTTCCTTCTTTCTTCCAAATTCGGTCTCCTCCTGGTTACAAACACTAAAATTGTGACATGCAAAGTGATAAATTTGCAGCTAACCTTGGCTGCTCTCCTCCCCTCTCCTTCTCCGATATACAGCCAAGGAGTTTTTATCTTCCCTGGCTCAAAGACGGGTCATTTATCTGTCAGGAGCGGAGACGATGGTAAGATTTTGGCTGTCAGGGGTATTTCAGATTTAGCGTAATGTCAAGAAGTCAAGAGAAGGATGTTCCTTTCAGGAGGCCTAACTTGTTTTTAAGTCTGATAGTGTCTCAAACAACCTAACAAACTGCTCTCCAAGGGCAGTTTAGCCCTTAAAGGAGCTCTCAGGAGTCCTCCTCAGAGTAATTGACTGCATCTCTTCCGCTGTTAGGCCTGAGCTGACCAATACACTCTGTCAGTTACTGTTCCTCTCTAAAGCTGAACTCATTTGACCGGCCCGTTCTCTCACAAACTCTCCTGAATGAAAAGGAAGTTTCCACTTTCTTTGGAGAGGGACTCGAGATGCTGCAGGTGCTGACGCCTCACAATGACTGGAACTTTAATAACGCCGTTTTAAACGGTTACAAGTGGCCGCCGAGAGTCCACGAGCACAGAGCTGCGTTGTGAAATGAGGCTCATCAGAAGGCAAACACTTAATGAGTACACAGGGCCAGACTCTTCCTGCCGGTGGAGCAGATCCAGAAACATTAGCATTTTGGCTCTCCCTCATTTTAATTTAGAGAGATTCACATACAAGCAATCGCTCCAGATCACAGGAACAACATGAACCACATAGCTGGCCAGAGCGCTCCCCAAGCTGTTGTTTGGAGAATTTAGATTCACATTCTGCTTACAGTCAATCCGTAAAATACGTGCACAGAGTGCTTTTAGTTTTGCAGGTTTTTCTGCATTGCAGCAAGTGTAATTTTCAACACTGTCCAGCCGGAACTGAAGATACCAAGAGGCGTACGAGATGCACAGTTATGAAGCTACAAAATGATTTTAGTTCAAGTTTTATCTGCTGTTATGTCAGACGTCGTCATTGGCCCTGCGCCCTTCTGGTCCCTTGTGAGGAGGAACTAATCTCTTTGTTTTGGCAGATGAAAAGGTCAGAGGGAGTGAGACTGCTGCCTGTGGAATCTTAATCGTGGTATTATACATACCAGCATCTGTAGGTCGCATTGAACAAACAGGTTTACACATATGAGGGTCAGTCGATATTTACTCGTCCTCTTATCTGTCGATTGAATTGGCCCAATAGTTCCGCCTCCGAATCAGGCGTCCGCTAACATCTGAGAAGGGAGGGGTTATTCCAGGGGGCACTTCCTGGTTTTATCTTTTTATTAGTCTGGATATCATAAAAGCCTGAATGTGTGATGATGGGCGAGACCCGGGTTACACACACACGTCAAGGTGAAACAATCTGCAGTGCAGCGAAAACACAAAGTGATTTCTAAACTTTAATATCCTCTGTGTCTTCTCCATATCACACACAAACACACACATACACACAAATTCGTCTTGCATAACACAAGCAGACTTGACAGCCAGGAATAGCAACCCCCGATTGGTGTCGGCAAGTTTTTCCTCAGGATTTGTTTTGTTGTTGCGTGCATGTGAAGACCTGAAAAAGGAGGAAACAGGCAGACAGATTCACAGGTACACACACAACAGAGAGTTTTACTCCACAGGAACAAAAAGAGCTTCAATCTCTATCATCTGGCCCTGATAATTTGGGATGTGGCCTCTGCATCTGACCTCCCATTTTCTTCGGTCAGAGGAAAAGCGATTGACCACGGCTGTCCTTTGTTGCCTGGTTACAGCTTCCTCGGGGGTTTCAGTGAGTTTCCTTCAATCTGACACGACGCGGCGAGCTATTAGAGGCACTTTATTAAACAGTGACGGAGGAGCACGAGCCATTAGCTGGTTCTCCGGCTTAAAAAGGGCGATGAAGAAAGTCAGGGGCCGTATTTATGGCTGGAGATCCGTGTTGACACATGCAGAGCCTTTTCTGTTGACTTGCTTTGACTTATCAAGAGGCTGTAATTGGAGGCAATAAAGTCATAGAGGGTTTTTTTATGGCGACATTTTAACCCGTCACTGCAGAAACAGAACAGGAGCTGTAAATAACCATAATGAGAGCTGGACTCCATTTTAATGCTCAAGTTTGTTCTCCAGGACACTCGAATTAAAGGATCGTATTAATGCCAGGAACTCTGCTTTCTCACTTATCGTCAAAGTTTTCTCAGAAGAAGGATAAAATTCTTCTGTCTGCAGCAGAACTGTCACTGTAGCCAAGAGATGGTTAGCTTTGTGTCAACGCTGTAAACAGAAAGAGACAGTTTCATACTTCCGAGCTCTGAGGGAAACAAACCAGACACCTCTAATCTCTCCG